GTAGTAGTCGTAGTAGTAGGTAGTAATAGTCGTAGTAGTAGTAGTAGTAGTAGTAGTAGTAGTCGTAGTTATAGTAGTAGTAGCGTAGTAGTAGTAGTAGTAGTAGTAGTAGTAGTAGTAGTAGTAGTAGTAGTAGTAGTAGTAGTAGTAGTAGTAGTAGTAGTAGTAGAAGTAGTATAGTAGTAGTAGTAGTAGTAGTAGTAGTAGTAGTAGTAGTAGTAGTAGTAGTAGTAGTAGTAGTAGTAGTAGTAGTAGTAGTAGTAGTAGTAGTAGTAGTGGTAGTAGTAGTAGTAGTAGTAGTAGTAGTAGTAGTAGTAGTAGTAGCGTAGTATCGGTAGTAGCCATAGCAGTAGAGGGTCTACTATAGCCTTGCCACGCGTTGGCGACTCTGGAAAGTTGAAATGGTGTGAATCTCAGATATCCATGCTTACGTTCGTGATTGGAAAAAGTTCAGGTGGTGAGAGTCCCAGAGCCCTGTCACACGTTCGTGATTAAATTGCAAGTCAACATAAGAAGATACCAACTTCGATTCGTAACTTTCCCCCGCGACAATGAAGTTCGGCCTCGCTGCCCCTCTCCTCCGACCAACTCTGTCTTGGCCGGGGATAATCAACTCTCAGGGGGTGAAGAGGGGGGGTCATTTATTATCCGCGGTGTTCGAATAGTCTGGCGACGCGGAGCACAAGAGCGCCTCGCTTCGGGCGGGGCGGAGCCCACTTTGGTCGGGCGAAATGAGGTCAACGGGGCAGGGCGGGTTGGGCGGGCGGGAACACTAAAGTTTGGGGCTCCCTATCGCGTGTGGCCGAGCGCAGCGGGGACAACGGATCAGAACGGGTCGGGCGGACGGAACATTCAAATTTGTGGCTTTCTATCCCGTGTGGTCGGGCGGAGCGGGCCCATCGGACGAGGAGGGTCGGGCGGGCAGGACATTCAAGCGCAGGGCTCCCTCTCGAGTGTGGTCGGGCGACGCGGGGCCCACGGGCGCGGCGTCATACCCTCCTCCTGGCCGACTTTCTTGGGTCTCAACCAGTTCAGACCCCTGGCCGCCTCCACTATGAATCCTCGTTGGTCGGGCGCGTGCGTGTGTCATGTATGTGGTTGGGCGCACACGTCCTCTATAGGCTCCGTGCCCTCGGGGCCCGAGAACGCGCACCCATGCGATAGCGCATTCGCCGCCGTGCCCTTCCCCATTTTTCTTCCCTCTAGGTTTGTGGAAGTCGGTTAATGGAGAGGAAACATGCTGCGAAATAATTTCCAGATGTCTAAAATATGTGTCAAACATGTTTTAAATATGTGAAGCCGTGCTTGATATAGTATCAGAACATGTTTTACACTTTTTAAACACATCTTTAATTCAATGATAGGGTTGTTAGCGTGTCCATTGTCGTGGCATCCACAACTCTAGGTTTGTGTGTGTTTCTCTGATCCACCGGCGGCGCACCCAGGGGGAGTGAGAGGGAGCAGGCCTTTTCAGAAGGAGGCGGGGTTTCTCAGAGGCCTTCCGGCCTTCGGAGAAGGCTTAGAGGAAACGCCACACAAGCCCGAGGCTTTCCGAGCTTGATGAGAATCCCCGCCCGCTATACAGTAGTATCGCGTCGTGTCGACCAGCGGCGATCTCGCCGCTGGCGTTCAACGTTGAACGCCGCCGGCGACGCAGGATTGGTCGATTTTGAGCGATCCGCCGTTTCGGAATCGGCCGATCGTTCAAGGTTGAACCATCCCCGCAAGTCGGCACGACACGATCCTCCCAGTGGGGACGCGCATCGAGAAACCGAATGCCTTTTGTCAGGGTACCCTGGGTCTCTTCGCTCCGCGCGCTGCGCGGCGGCTTCCCGCGGCCGTTGAGGGAGCTGCTGCGCTGAGGGTGCTCGCGGGCGCGTCCGCGGGTCCCAGACCCCTCCACCCGCCGACCCTGTCTTTCTACCCCGATGTTACCCCTTGTCTTGGGAGGGTCGACTCAAGACGATGGAACATGTCATCGGAGGGAGTGGAAGCGGGCCGGGGAGGGGGGTGCCACGGCAGAAGTGCTTCTCTGGCCTGCTCAGGGCTGGGCCCCCTCCGCTTCCGCACGTCGCGCTCGCGGGCTCTCGGGGCTGGGCTCCTGCGAGGGTGTCTTGGAGGAGGAGGAGGAGGAGGAGGAGGAGGAGGAAGTGGGTAGAACCATGAAGTAGGAAGGCGTTGGAGGCAGATTGGGCTTCCGCCCGCCCTGAAGAGGAGGGAAAGAGGACACATCTCTCGATTCTTGAAGTTGGAGGGCGCCTAAAGTAGATATGGGATCTGAGAAGCCCAAAATGCCTACTTCCAACGACCTGCGTGTAGTCTTTTTGTCTGCTGTTGTGCAAGGCAGGCTCCAGAACGATGATGCTGGGACGCATTTCTGCCTAGCCGCGTCGTCGACGAAAGAGTCGGCTTGCCGCCGTCCCCTCCTTGTCCTCTTCTCCTTCTCCCCCCCTCGACGTCCTCCTGGCAGTTGCGAGGGAGCGGGGAAATGTCATAGAGGATCTTGCTGGAGCGTGTTGACGTTCACCGACGTATGCAATACCCACTGGCCTTCGGCCGATATCCTGCCACTGCCTGGGCTCCTGGGTCCTGCGCAGGCCTCTCGCTCGCCTCTCGGGGCCTCCTGGGACGCCCCCCCCCTGGACCATCAGCAGCCTGCTTGGCCCGAGCGCGCGGGGGCGCACCCCCTCCCATCCCGCCCCCGCGCCCTCTTCCTCCGCACGCACTGCACGCCGCCGCGCTGCGCGCCCCTCCGCCCCGTGCCCATGGGCGGCGGCGTCGGGAAGGCGGAGTACCGGGTGCAGTTCCGGCGCAGCGTGGACAGCGCCGGCCAGTACCTGGACGGCCACCTCGCCGCGTGGGTGGCAAGGCACGCCGCCGGCGGCGGCGAGAGCCGCGGGCCCGCAGAGGGGAGTCCCGAGAGCCTGCCTGGCTCGACCCCGAGGCCAGCACGGGGCCGCGGGGCTGCAGGCGCGGTGGCAAGCGCAGCCTCGTCGGCGCCCGCCGCGCCAAACACCGTCGGCCCGACGCTCCTGAGGAGCGGGCGCGAGGGCGGCGGCCAGAGCCACGAGGGCGGCAGGGGTCGCAGGCCAGACCGCTCCGCGGCAGGGGCAGCGAGCTGCGACCGGGGCAGGGACACCTCCAAGGATGGCAGGTGGCATCAGAAGCACTGCTCGCCCGGGCTGTTCGTGCTCGCGAACACCATCCAGCAGGCGTACCCTTTCGACCCTTACGGCCAGAAGACTGTGTATAAGGAGGAGGAGCACCTATCTTCCATGTGCGACCACTGGCGCGGCTTCGGGGAGGTCACCATTACGAAGACGGGCCCGAGGAAGCTCCACTGCAGGATATGCGCGAGGCTGCTGGTGGATGCTGACGACAGCAGCCGCAGCGAGGGGCCGTTCTACTTCTGCCGGAGGTGCCACGAGAGCGGATACAAGTACCACATCTGCACTTCGTGCTGGCAAGACCTGAAAAGGGGGGACGCGAGCCCATTCGACGTTCACGCAGGACCCGCGGGCCCAGGATCCAGCACGGGCTCGGAGGCGGCCACGGGCATCAGTCCGGCCGTGGTGCCACCTGGGCTGTGGAAGGGCAGCGTCACCGAGGGAGGGTACACGAGGGACGCGTCGCTGAACCTTTCCTTCGACACGCAGGGGGGCATCACGGGCTCGGGCCCGGCCGGGGAGGAGGAGGTCGCGGTCAGCGGGGTGTGGCGCCGCGAGGGCCGCGCCGTCGTGGTGGCCTGGAGCGAGGCCCGTTCTTGGGGCAGGATCTGGGTGGACGGGCAGTTCATGGTGAGCGGGGATGCCGCCAAGATCACGGCCAAGATGCTCGCCTCCGACGAGGGGCAGGCGAGCCTGGTGCTCTCGAGGCGGCTGTGAGGCCCGGGGGGGCCGCCCCGCGCCGGGGGGCGTGGCCCTTCGATGGCACCCTGGGCTGTGGGCCCGCCGTGCAGGTGCGGTCCACCCTTCGGCAGCTTGGGCTGTGGCAGGAGGACGGGGTGGGGCAGTTTTTCGAGCAGACCAGGATTCGCGGCTGGACGCCCCGCTGCATTCCGTGAGCTTCGTAGCCGACGCTCAGCAGTTGTCTGAATCACCTTGATGGCATGCTGTGAACGTGGTATTTTAGCATGGACGTTTTCAGGTTGAGCCTCCGTGCAACCTTCGCCGGGCGACCCGCTCACCGCTGGTCGCGGTGGCCTGGACGTGATGTGCGTGCGCCGCGCAGTTCTGGGCGTGCTGCGAAGCAGGTGCGAGCGTGCATGCGCCTTGCTCCTGACCGAAACCAAGGTGTGAGGTTTGGCGAATCTAGCGCGATCAGATGCAGTACTTGCATTGCATGAGTTTGCGTGCCGAATGCTGCAGATGCACATTCTGCGCTGCTAACTATTTGTTGCCCAGGGCAGAACTGCCTTGCGTTCGCCTTCGCCGTCAAGGCTGACCGCAGCTTGCTCAGGTATCTGCACGGACCGACGTCGTTTGTTGTTAGGACCCCGCTAGGCTGCCCCGGCTGCTCTGCAGTGCCGATCTCTTCTCTCGGTGGCAAGGTAGGGGGCTCCCAAGCAGCGACTCGAAACACTTGTGGCTCGTAGAGCTCTCTTCGACAGAGCGTGCTTTACATATTACAGGAGGAAAGGGAGAGCCTTTAATAGTCGAGGAGGAGGAGACACATTATGATGACGACGACAGTTATTATGATGATGACGATGGCGATGACGATGACGACGATGATAGTGATGTTGATGACGATGCAGATGACGATGCCGATGCCGATGACAAGACGACGACGATTATTATGACGATGCTAATGATGATGCTGATGATGCTGATGATGATGCTTCTGATGACGATGACGCTGATGATGCTGATGATTGGTGACGGTGATACTGATGCTGTCGATGCTGCTGCTGGCGCTGATGATGACGGTGATGCTGATGGTGCTGAAGCTGAATGTAATGATACTGCCGCTGATGACGATGATGATGGCGGTGATGCTGATGATGATATGGGATGATGAGATCAGGAGGAGATGTAGGATGATGAGGAGGGGGCAGAGGAAGGGGGGGAGGAGGAGCAAGGGAATGTTGATGCTGATGATGTCGGTGACGAGGCTGCTGCTGCTGATGATGATGCTGCTGCGGATGATTATGCTGATGCTGACGATGACTACGCTGAAGATGTTGATGATAAGGATGAGGATGCTGATGCTGATGATGAGGATGCAGACCATAACGACGATGATGATGAGGATGATGCTGATGCTGATGCTGCTGCTGATGATGACGATGAAGATGATGATTACGATGATTATGATGATGATGCTGATGATGATTCTGATGCTGATGGTGATGATGCTGATGATGCTGATGCTGATGCTGATGCTGATGATGCTGCTGATGATGATGCTGATGACGATGATGATGCTGCTGCTGATGATGATGATGATGATGTGATGATGATGCTGATGCTGATGCTGATGCTGCTGCTGCTGCTGATGATGATGATGATGATGATGATGATGATGATGATGATGTTGATGTTGACGATGATGATGCTGATGATGCTGCTGATGATGATGATGACGATGATGATGCTGCTGCTGCTGCTGCTGCTGCTGCTGATGATGATGATGATGATGATGATGATGATGATGTGCATGCACAGGTTTGAATGTGATTGCCTTTGGTCGATGTTGCAAGCGTTTATACTCCGCAACTGTTTTATTCCCAAGTCTTTCTCGCGGGGTGAATCCCGGCCAGGCCGCCAGCACAGGGGCGGTCTTCGTTGCCTTTCTCGAAACGTTGGTGAGGCCGCTTCTCTCCCAGGCGCCGCAGATCCATTGCCCTGGTGGCGGTGAGCCCTGGCCTGAGTGCCCCTGCCCGAGCCGCGTCTGCCCGCCCACGGAGCCGCCCTGGGTGCTCGGAGGCGGTGTGTGCGACGCCGACGGCGGCGAGCCTTCGTTGGAGGCGGACTGGCTGACCGTGCTGGGCTGCGCGGCTTCGGTGGTGAACGCCGGGTGGCTGGCGGCGACATCGTGCCGACGACGGCAGCATGGCGATTATAGTGGCAGGCGCGGCGGGGCGGGAGTTCTGGAGCCGCCTTCGGCCACGAGAGCTGTATCTAGCGTGGTTCGAAGACGACACAGGTTGGCACGAGAGGATGATGTGCCTGTGGCCGACGGCGGAGGCAGGAACGTGGATGATCCTGACTCCAGGCGGCCACGTCTACGCTGAGAGCGTGGCGGGCTGCGCCGACGGGCCCGCCCGTGCGCGGGCCTTGCGGGGCGGCGCGCTACCAGCGGGGCTGCGCGAGGCGGTGTACCGCTTCAGGGAGTACCCTGGCACGCGGGAGCTGTGGGTGCTCGTCGGCGAGGCGCGTGAGGAGGCGCTGCTCGAGGCTGACGACGTGGAGCTCCCGCGGGTCGAGAACTACGTGAGCCCGAGCGGGCGCGAGCGGCCGATCGGGGCCCTGCTGGACGTCGTCTTCGAGCCGCCCGCGGGGCCGGCAGCTGATGGCGATGCTGGCGGGGCTGCTGCTGAGAAGGCGGATCGCCTGCCCGCTGGGCTTTCGCTGACGGGGCCGCGCGCGCTGCCGCCAGAGGGCACCGCCTGGGCGGTCGTGGACCTCTCGTTCGGCTGGGAGCGCGTCGGCGACATCATAAAGGTCGGCCAGGGCGACGTGCTGCTAGGCGGCGCTGGGGGAGTGCACGAGGCGCTCGTCAGGGACGGCATTGGCTGGACGAAGGTGCTTGCCCTGTCGGCGCATGAGCGGGAGGCTTTCCGCGAGCGGGTCCGTCGCCCTTGGCCGCCCGCTCCCGACCCTGGGGACGCGTTCGGCGAGACAGAGGCGGCTGCTGGCACCAGCGCGCCTCGCGCTGACGGCGGCCTGGACGCGCTGGCAGCTCGCCTCAGCGGTGGCGGCCGCGCGGTGGCAGGGCCCACTGGCGGCGGAGACGACGATGCGCGGACCCTGGCGGCCGATTTCGACGCGCAGGTAAGAGGTACACGGCATGGCGGGAAGTGGTGGCGGAGATGACGCGGCGCGCCCTCACCGACTGGCCGCTGGGCACTCCGCCCGTGGCGGTCAACTTCCGTGCACACATGGAGCGGGCCGGCCGCGTGCCGTCGGGCTGGCTGGATTAGTGGTCGCAGAGCAAGAATATCGCGAGCGGTGATCGCGCGTACTACGAGCTCAGGGCGACCATTGATGCATTGGAGTATGCGGGCAGCTGCGACCAGCTCAACCTCGGGTCGCCAGTGTTCGCAGAGCTCCTCTGCCTGCGAGTGCAGGCGATCGTGGACGTGTATCAGAATGATCCGAGCAAGCCCAGTTTCGAGAAGGCGAAGTATTTCTCGGGGCTCAAGAGCTTGTCGGATGCGGTGCCGCCTGATCTGAAGAGCTTCGCGGCTCGCAGGGCGAAGGGGGATGCCGAGGTTGAGAAGCAGCGGCAGAAGGTCAAAGAGCTCCGAGGCAAGACCGACGACGGTGGGAATACCGATGCCGCGGGAGGTAAAAAGTGATCGAGGCGGCCGTACCTGAGACCGCCAGCGGGTACGGTTCGCAGATGAGAGTGGTGGGTCCTGCTCCCGGAAGCACATCGACCCCGAGAAGATTCTCCCCGTGCCGATGCTCGAGACAGAGGGGCCCGCTCGCGGAGTTTCGAGAAGAGTTCGTCAGCGAGTCGGGCGACGGCGCGCGTTGGACAACAGGGCCGGCGAGGTCTTGCATGCTTTGAACTGGATGTCAGGCTGTAGTGACGATGTAGGAGCGTGTCGAGTTCCTGCTCCCGCGGCCCCTGTCCATCTGGAGATCTACGAGGGCGCGCTGAAGGCTGTCCACAGCTGGCCGGCACCAGATCGCAGAGACTCCCAGGAGGAAGCCGCGCGCGCTTCTCCGCGCCGAGTCGGTGTGCGTCCAGGCGCGCATGACTGCGGCGCCATGCGAGGGGGGCATGGCGTCGCTTCCCGACGACGTCCGCGACGCGAGGTACGGTGACTTGATCGAAGGCACGCGCGCCCGCAATTTGCTCGAGAGGTTCATCGTGAGTACTCGGCGGAGTCCCGAGGAGGTGAATGAGCTCGACCAGGCTTTTGGGGCTGTTAAGCCATGCGTGGATCGCCGTTTGGAGTCGTCGGCTCGGCTCCGCAGGAGGTTCGCGCGCCAGCTTGACCAGGAGGGTATGATCCATTGGGCGAGGAGCCCGAGGTGCCCCATCCCGTTGTTCTTGGGGCGCTTCGGATGATCGCAGATGCGAGGCCAATGAACAGGCTGTTTAGACCACCGCCAGGGGCGCAGCTATGCGCGGCCGAGGGGCTCGGTCGCATCGAGCTCGGGGCGGGGGCCGACGACGTCTACCTGGCCCTGGCGGGCGTGGCGGACTGCTTCCACCGCCTGCGGATGCGCGAGGAGCTCTCGGAGCACTTCGCGCTGCCGCCGCTGCCTGCGCGGGCTGCGGGCTTGCTGGGGCGCGCGGGGCTGGGCGCCAGCTCGGCCGACAAGCTCTGGTGGCCCTGCTGCGCTACCTTTCCGATGGGTTTCAGCTGGCGCCTCATTCTGGCGCAGGGCGTGAACGAGTGCCGCGCAGCGCGGGGGCCTGGGCTGGAGCTGCTGCCGCTGCTGGCCCGCGGTGCTCGGCGCGGTGGCGCCGACGTCGCGCCGTGTGTGCGTGGGCAACTTGGGCGTGCTGGACGCGGGCCACCGCCGCGAGGCCGCCGGCTTCGCGGGCGCGTGCGCGTCCTGCGAGCGGGCGGGCCTTGCCGTGCACGACCGCTTAGAGGCCCCGCCCGCCATGGACAGCCTGGGCGTCGAGCTCAAAGCCGAGAGGCTCGAGGCGCGACTGACCGCGGCCCCGCTACTGGCGGCTGGGCGCGGGGCTGCGCTGGCTGCCGGCAGGGCGGAAGGTCTCGACGCGCATCGTGGAGGTCTTCGTGGGCCACAGCGCGAGTGTCGGCCTGCTGGTCCGCCGGGCCATCTCCGTGTTCCACGCGGCTTGCAGGCTCGCGCAGGCGCACCCCGCGGGGCTCTTTCCCTTGTGGACCTCGGTGAGAGCCGAGTTCGCCGCCTTCTGGGCGTCGCGCCGCTGTCGCCTCCTGGCGGCTCCCCTGGGGCGGGGTGGTCGATGCCGGCGACGCCGGCGAGGCGGGGCGGGGGGGCTGCTCTACGTGGTTGGGCGCGAAGGTTTCGGCCAACGCGGGCGAGTGCCTGAGGGGTCGAGGCGTCGTCTCACCTCTGCCTCCGCCAGAGGTGCTGCTATGCAGCGGGCAGGTCTGGAAAGCTTCGACGACGACGACGCAGACCTGCCCGAGGAGGCCTTCGAGGAGGTCGCTGATTTCCCAGAAATCCCAAAGAAACTGCTAGAGAAGGATAGCTGGCGGGTTACCCTGCGAGGCCGCTGGCGATCGGCGGGGCGCATCGCCCTGCTGGGGGCCCGCGCGGCTGTCGCGATGCTGCCCAGGGGGGCGCGCGCTCGGCCAGGTGCTGGCGTGCGCGAGCTATGCCTAGGCGACAACCTCGGGGTGGTGCTGGTTTTCGAGCGGTGTCGGGCACGAGATTTTGCAATGTTGACCCAGGTGAACAAATGGTGCGCTACTTGTCTTGCAAGAGAGATTCGGCCAGCTACCAGGTGGATTCCTTCGGAATGATACG